CACCCCCTAATCCTCCCAATCCCTCACCCCCACTCCATCCCCCCCTCCACTCCCCAGGGAGGGCAAGGGCCTCCATGAGGGATTTCCAGAGTCCGTCACATCATCCCAGGAATGGCCCAGGTTCTTCTCCATGTGTCCAGGCTGAGGGAGCATCCCTCCATGTGGCATGGGCTCCCAGTGTCCCTCTGTATGCCAGGAATAAATCCTGCTCCACTCTCGAAGGTCCCACAGATTGCCAAGGCCTCTTCTTTGTCACCCAGGTCTTTTTGACCAATTCTAATTCAAGCCTAATAATAGTACAAGTGTTCCCTTGGGCTGCTGGGATATCTCAAGCAATGCCTGTTTGTATGATCGTATTTCATGTCATCTGAATTTCAGAATTAATTAATGGTGACTTTGAGATCAGTACTGGCATTTGAAAGGCAAACAGGATAGCAGAGTTTTCTATTCATTAAAGTGACTGCTGTAGGTTTTTGGTTGGGGACTTATCCCTTTGACCAAAGCTAATGACAGATGGAAAGATGGCAAACTTCCAATGCAAATATTTGGAAAACAAAACAAAAGAGGAAGAAACGCAGCACCTGCATACTGAAGTAAGATAGAGAACTGGGGTTATCCTACAACACTCTGTTCAGAGTCAGAAGACATTATACATTTATGTAAAAACACATTACACAAAATACACTTTTGTGGATTAAGCATGATTCTAATTAGTCCTAGTAATAAAAAACCAGAGTCAGATATTGGGGTTAATGCTGAAGGTCAGAGAAGCAAAGTGGCCAGCTACTAGAGAGTTCTCACCTTTACCAATGCTCAGACCGAAAGGGTAATCCTGCCCTCAGAATGCATTGCCAGACTGCATCTGTCTCCACCAAACCTCAGACTGCCCTGACCTCCTGTCTCAACCAGATTAAAGGCATGGGATCCCGAGGGCTGAGATCACCATTGTGATCTCTGTTTCTCTTTTAGACTGGATCGATTTCATGTATCTCAGGATGGCCTTGAATTAACTAAGATCTGTCTGCCTCTGTCTGAGATTAAAGGTGTGTACCACCACTGCTTGGTCTCTATGGCTGTCTAGTGTGGCTAGCTTTGCACTCTGATCTTCAGGCAAGTTTTGTTTGTTAGACCATAAACAAAATATCACCATGCGTTTATAGTGTTCCCCAGTCACCATTAATTAATTCTGAAGTTCAGATGGCATGAAAGACAATCGTACAAACAAGTATGGCTTGAGATATCCCTGCAGCTCCAGAGAACACTTGTACTACTATCAAGCTTGAATGCTGGGTATCTACATATTCCTCGTAATTCTGTTACGGTATTATCTGCTTTATAAGATCTGCAAAGCCATTCATAATGTGACAGACAACATCATGCCAATGCAAACAGCTCTGAAAGCGAACTGTGTCTTCGTGGTGGAAGAGGGTTTCTTAGAATCTCAATAGTCATCCTATTCCTCTTTGGACATTTCATACTGAACTTCTGTTGTAACTTCATCTCTTCTTAGTCACAGTCAGTCCACTCAGAGGGATTGGGATTTTCTTACTCCATCTCTGTTGGCTCCACTTGTCCCAAACTGCAGGAAGTCGGCCTGGAGCAAGAGACCTAAGGACGGGGGATGGGGACAAGAGACAGGAAAGAAGGACCACAAGACAAGTATCTGATCAAGTGGCAATTTTAATTTTTCTCAGGGCAGTAAATATACTTTGTAGAGCAGGAAAACAGGACGGGGTGAGGGGGTGAGAAGGCTAGATATGTTTCCACCAAAATGTTTCTGGTTTCCACCATGACTGGAGGCGGGTGTCAGAAAGTGGAGGTCTGTTTGTTCCGTATCTCTTCTCCCATGAGGAAGCACCATTTCCTGGAAACCACACTGAGGCTATGGCTGAAACACGGCACCTTGAATCAGCTTCTCTCCTCCTTGTCCATCCTTCACCCAGAAAAGCCCCAGCTTCAAGGCAGTGTCCCTCAATGGCATCTCACTCCCAGGACCCCTCCTGTGGGCAGGAGCTCTGCTTCCTTCCTTCCTTCCTTCCTTCCTTCCTTCCTTCCTTCCTTCCTTCCTTCCTTCCTTCCTTCCTTCCTTCCTTCCTTCCTTCCTTCCTTTCTCTTGAGCTTTCTGTAATAAAAATAGCTTTTCTTCCTCTCCAAAACTTACCTTCAGTGGTCCATGATTTTCATCCTTTGAATTCAAGAGATAAGAATCTAAAAGTCACTAGCTTGGGGTGGCTTGAGTTTCCAGGGTCTTGAGTTTGTGGGTCCCCAGGCAAAGCACAGGAACCGAATAAGGCTCCCTTGATCTCAAAGACAACCCGATGTTCTTGTGTCATTGACGGCACATTTCTTCTGGATCTTAAGATGCTTGAGAAGTTGGGCTCCATCTACCCAATGAGAACTTCTAGGGAGTGACATGCTATCTACCTGGCCTGGCAGAGTGTTGCTGGGTAGAAAACTGGCAGAGATTACAGAGGCAGCCTGGCACATAGTGCCACAGCTAAACTTTTTTTTTTCCTGGAGAATTCATAAAAAGAAATCATTTCTTTGACAGCTCAAGTCAGCAAAGGCAGGATGTTTATACTGACTTCCTTGCTAACTGCCTGCTGATGGGTTCGCCTACCCCCTGTCAATGTGTACATCCTTTTTATTATCCTCAAATTTATTCTCTTTAGATATTTTTCTTTCCTCTCTCACCTGTCTCATTTGTTAACATTTTGTGCCTCTGAACAATTGAATCTCATAAGCAATTAAATGTTCTCTTTGTAAAACCACCCAATGCCTTAGAGTCAGTCCTTGGCAGCTACTGTCTGGATAGTCTGAGAGGTATTACCAAGGGGCCAGTATGGCAGATATATAACCGGGATGGCCCAGCATTTTGGTAACATTTCCAATCAATGTATTTTTAAAACACCTCAATTTCTTCTTACAATGAACATAATCTTACCAGTTACAGTTAATCATGTCAACACAAAAACTCCTGGATTTATTTGTTTATTTATATACACCAAAACAATCAAAACAGGCATGTGCATTTGCAGACTATATTACTATTGTGGTTTTTTTATGAGACAGGTTTTCTCTGTATTGTTTTGGAGGCTGTTGGTCCAGCCCGGCCTCGGACTCACAGAGATCTGCCTACCTCTGCCTCCTGAGAGCTGTGTGGTTTGTTTTCTGCTTAGTAATATATCTTTTGAAAAGTTGTACAGTACCATGATTTCAGGGAAAACATTATTCCATGAATGATAATTACTGGATATTTGGGGTATTTCTAATTTTAACTGTTACAATCAGTGTTTATATAAGTGTCTTTGAAGCAAACGGTCCATAAGACCATCATGTCAACCTCCTATTTCTCTAGGCTCATTCACAGCCATTACACTTGTTCTCTGCATGCTACAGTAAGTTTGAACATGCCGTGTCCTGTCTCACAGCATTTGCATAGGTTCTTGCACTCCTAGAGAATGCTCTCAGCTGCTCACTGCCAGGCCAGTTTCTACTCTGCTGAGAGCCTGTGGAGTCTTTAGATTAGGCCATGGTGTGATGGCATGTTCCATGAGCATCTTGACTACCCAGCTCCGTGGTGCCTGCATGCTCTCATATTGTTCTTCCACTTTGACACAGGCAGAGTGCCATTTGTTTTGTGCTTTGACAACCTGATGATATGAACAATTATGTCATTACTTTATTTAGTATTTCGTTTTCTTCTCTAGAACAATTATTTTTGTGTATGTGCTCAAGCACTCACGATGTGTGTGTATGCTTCTGCTGCAGCATGTGGAGGAGGAGCAGAACTAACTTGGTTGGTTGACTCAATTTTCTTTTTGCATCTTTTTGGGGTCCCAGAGACTGAACTCAGGTTGCTTAGACTTTCCCAGCAAATCACCTTTACCCACCGAGGCCTTTCACTAGCCTTTCAATATTTCTTATTGGCAGGACACTTGTTTCTATCCTAGTTAATTTCTACTGGGATAATTATCATATTTTATTAGTTGGTAAGCATTTTTTACATATTATGGTATTTATCTATTACCATTTTTATAGACTATATAAATATACTATAGACTATAAATATAGTCTATAATATTTGTTTTATATCACCAGCATTTCCCCTATTGTTACTTAATCATATCTGTCACCAGCTTTTTAAAAATTGGTTACAAAACCTAAGGCTAGACATAAAATTAGGAACATATTTAGATACCTCTTTGGAAAGAACATTTTAGTATTTTAAAAACTGAATTAAAAAGTATAAAAGCAATGCAATTTAAACACTTTTGAAAACTTAAAAACTGCAGCACCATACGTAGTTCCCTTTAGCTATGAAATGGCGAATTCCAATTAAAAACTGGTAGGGTCAGGGCAGAGTGAAGAAGAATCTAAAAGAATTTTCCTCGTGTTCCCAAACCCAAAGGATTGGACGAATGTCAATGAGTGAAGGAAGAAGTAGACAGTATGCAGGAAAAGTCAAGAACACGAAGAGGTAAGTCTCATTTCCACTCCTCTCTCTCAGCTCCAAATGAGATGACTACACTGAGTTTGTTGAGGAGAAATGGCTCGTTAGGATTGGAGGGTGTGTGCTAGAGATGTGGCGAGTCCCCCTGAGAAGATCCTGTACCTTCTCCCCGGGTTGTAAGTTGTAAAGTTTCCCAGATAGGCAGCCATGCCTCATTACTTCACAAGTGAAAGCAATGGTTGATATAAACATGGAAGGGCAGAAAAATGACCCACTGTGTCTGAGTGGCCCTTCCATTGATGATGACTCAACAGCATTTTCTGCAGGGAAAGCAGCAAAATCATTATGTCAGCTCGAGAGTGGTGGGGAAGATGCAGGGAAATCTGCACGTATGAAGCATCTGGAACATGTGAACATGGGGACAGCTCTCATGAACTTACAGCTGCAATCAGTGGGGCTGTGGACATGATCAGTTCCATCATGATCAAAATGGCAAAATTTCTCTTTTTATAGTTATAGTGAGAGTTGCACAACACAAGTTCTTCCAACTTATTTTATTACCAGTGTAGTCAAAGGCCTTGGCTCACATTGGGCAGTTACACTGTGTTCCTGCTGATGTTGCATAATCTCTTCCAGCTGCTCAGGAGCAATCAGAGAGGTGAAACAGGACAGGAACGAAAGCCCTTCCGGATGCTCTTGCACTTTTAGCATTGAGATCTCAGAATAGTAGAACACAGCGGACACTGAAACATAAAAAAATGTGATCACAAAATGCTTGGGAAGCGTTGAGCAGCACAGTGATTATGTGTGGCAGCCTAAGGATGCTCAATATCCAACCGTTGCCACCTCTTATTCACCCGAGTACCAACTGGCGTCTGAGTGGGGTCTGGGTTGGAATCCAGTGCTGTACAGAAAAGGAGGGCATCCTCTTCAAACGCGGTTCCCTGTGGCTGCACAACACAGAAGACCCCGGTACCTCAGGTGCAGCTCTCTTCAGTATCCTGTTGCTGTAGCAACTTGCCTACCATCTGGACCAGAGAGAAAAAGATGGCTTTCTCTGGCTCCCTTCCCCTTGCAGTATGTCCACTGCCTGTCAGATGCCTTCTCCCATACACAATAATAATTTAAAAATTTCAGATAAGTTTTCCTGGAGCTTTGTTCCTGACCTAAATGGGTTGACAAACTCAGTGAAATTTGACCAGGAAGAATAGGGCAAAAATGTGAATGTTTCCATATAACAGTCATTAAGCAAATAAAGTATGCAGGTAGTGTTGGGGGGAAAGAATGCCAACTGGAGACTTGCTTCAAAGGGAACGAGAAAAGCACATTCATCACAGTGTCTCTACTGTTTGCTTCTTGCTCTACACTGAATCTGCCACCCTTGTAGCAGTCCTGGAAGACAATTGCAGCGCAGTTCTCTCCCAATGGAAACATTTGCTCCAGGAGGGAGACAGGAGGCTCGTGAACAAGCTTCACAGGCAAGTCAGGGAAAGCTGAAGCTTAGGAGATCTACAGCTGCTCCCCAGGGCCATAGAAGAGGTGAACAGCTCAAGAGGAGAGGCTAAGCAACCCAGCTCTCGAAAGGTCCCTAGGATCTGTTTAGCTGCTTGTATGTAAGAGCTCCAAGGATACAGCCTTCCTGGATCATCACCCATGCTGGGGAGGGTGTGTGTGTGTGTGGGGAGTTCTGATGCAGTTACTTTAATGTTATCCCTGTTCCTGTGAGTACCCCTTCACACATGTTAGGAACCCCAATAAAAACTCAGTGGCTATTCAAGTTGAACTCTGGTGCAATTGTTATTTTGATCTACTGTGGGTTCCCTTTCTGGGGTGAGTAGATGTGTCAGCATGTGTGTGTGTGTGTGTGTGTGTGTGTGTGTGTGTGTGAGAGAGAGAGAGAGAGAGAGAGAGAGAGAGAGAGAGAGAGAGAGAGAGAGAGAGAGAGAGAGAGAGAGAGAGAGAAAGAGAGGGTAATATAAGTCCCTGGGAAATTGTTCACACACAGCAACAGTCTGCTGTCAAGTCTAGAGCATTTAAAGAACATGTGAACAAATTAGTACTCGGGGAGTAAGTGCTGCAGTCCTTCAGTTGTGGTAACACATGGGTAGACCATCATTCACAAAAGATGCATAAGTTGTTGGCATTCAGGCATTTACACCGGACTGTCCTTGGGACCCTAGCAGCAGCTAAGATGTGACACTGTGACTGCTGCAGCCACTGAGTAGAGCGCTCTCCCTTTGGGCACGTACTATGCCCACTATAAAAAGCAAGCCCTTCTTGTCCTCTTACTTCTGCTCTTGCTCAGAGGCTGCCTCTGTACCCCCCCAATACACCTCCCACATAAGTTCTGTTGCATGGTGTGACTTGTGGTGCTATTTGGCTCCATCTTGCCAAGGTTACGTTGTACTGATAAACTATTACACAACAATTTGTGCCCTTGGCAGGAGTCTCAACATGTTTCTTAAACTTCTTGCAAGGTTGCTGACTCCAGAAATTCAATTCATTTGTTTTAGATAATTTCACTAACCAGACAAACACTATTGACCAATGTGGAAAACATAGTTCTGTGAGTTATGCTGAATTCTTCACTATCTTTCTGAAATGGATGGAGTAGACTTCCCAAAGAGAGGCTGCAGGTAAAAACCTTCCTATGTGGATAACATCAGGAAACAGGGAGACATGTGTAAAAGATACCAAAGGTCCAAGTTGCCCCCTTTAAACAAAACTGCTTAGAAATATCTAAGTAGTCATTTATTTCCTCCATAAGTTATCAGAATATAGTTGATCGTCAAAGAGAAACTCACGCTTTTCCCGTATGATACAGTTCCAAGGCTTTTTGGAGTTGGTTAAAAGGCAGCTGGTGAGTCACTAATGGATCTATATTAATCTTATCTTGAAGGTAATCAGTCACTAGTTGGGGAATACAGTCTCTGGGTTTATAATCTACAAAACAAAATGGCTATTAACAAATATGACCTGAGACCAACCAGGCTGGTGAGATGGTTCAGCAGGTGATTTGCACACACACACACACACACTAATAAAATAAATGTAATAAAATAAGAAGTATTAGCTAATCAAAAGAGTAAAAAAATCAAGTAAGTCATGAGAGATGGGTAAGATACTCTCTGCAAATTTATCATTGAACATAAAGGAGAATCATTGTATCTGAGAAGCCATTGATAGCTGCTATTAAATGTGGCTTCTATATGTTACCTAGTCATCCTTTAAATAAAATCTGGGTTAATATTCATATTACTGAGTCAAAAATAATCTTTTCACCTTATCAACCCATATTCTGGGGTTACCATTACAAAACAATTTTCTCTCACATGCATGGGAATCTTCTCTGTTTACATACATACATATGGTATGGAAACTGTCTCTGTCCAAATGTACAGAGATGGTACTGGGATCCTCTGTATCCACATGCATGGAGATGACATAGGAACCCTCTGTATACACATTCATGGAGATTACATGGAAACCCCATACACATGCATGGGATGGTATGGAAACACTCTGTATCCACATGCTTGGAGAGGGCACAGGCACCCTTTGTATGCACATGCATGAGGATGGATGACATGGGAACCCTGTGTATCCACATGCATGGAGATGGCATGGGCACTCACTAGTTGAATAGATAGAAATGGGAATGTCAGTTTTTTAAATCAGCTAATGAGTATTGCTCAGAAATGAGGATTTTTTCAGGTAAGACAGAAGCACATGGTCAAAAGCACCAGTTTAGTGCATATAATGGCATTTACGACACAAAAAGACATTGCTATTAAAGTAGTACGATAAACCTCGAAGCCATCAATGCAGAGCCAAAGCAGATTAAATTATTCTAACTGCTGCAAAGTATTTTCCTTGGAGGAAAATTAAAATCCTCAGTGGCTCCATTATTTTATTTAGCTAACTAAAATCAATTTGGTGGTTTGGGAAGACGGCTTGATAAGTAAAGTACTTTCTATGAGTTCAGGTTCCCAGCACCCAGGGTAACCAGCCAGGGATGGTAGCTATGCACATGTAATCTTAGCTCTAGGGAACTGGAGACAGGAGGATCCCTGGAACTCACTGGCCAGCTAGTTTTGTCCAACTGGTGAGCTCCAGGTGTAGTGAGGAGCTCTGTGAAAAAATGAGCAGGACAGAGGAAGCACCTGATAGCAAACTCTGGCCTTTGCATGCACACTCACATACACATGCTTGCACACCCACACACATGCATGTACACATTAACCCATACACACATGAACACATGTACATACCTATATGATACTACACTCTCCCCAGATTTAAAGCAAAGGCAATTTGAAGAATGTTATTCACGTTTCAGGAAGAGACTTTGGACACATTTCTCTCATATCTGGTTTCCTTAGAGGAGGACTTAAGCCGTCACACCCTTCTCCTCATCCACCTACCTCCCAAACACACGCCCTTCATGGTTTTTCCAGATATTATCTTAGTTGCCTCAAGGGGCAGCTGTGTATCTTCTGGGGCCACCCCAAGGATCAGACAGACACCATAGCTTATGTTGCAGGAGTTCCAAGCAGAAACCTGAGAATGACAATGACAGCCACAGGCAAAACCCATGCATTAATATAAACTACCCCCACGGGGAAAGGATCCTGGATATTCTGAGCTTTGGACTTCTCTTGGGTAGACATCACTTCAAATTCAACTTGGACCCTGGGGTCATGGCATCTCCTTAGAGAGTCAATGTGGTGTAGGAGTAAACAGTCCAAACGCTGCAACCTGTGTGACTCCGGCATGTACTTTAACCTCCTTGTTGGCTCAGTTTCCTTGTAGGGTTGTTCTGAGTATTGACAGATTTGTTCCCTTAGGACCTCCTGATCACTACACCAGCATACAAGAATAAATGGTGTGTTCAACAAGACTATTCACAGCCTTAAAGGCCACACATTGTATTTCTCTAACTTTTTACTTGCTACGCTTTACTGCACAATTTATTTCTACTGAAATAAACCATAACAGGACATAGTAAATATAGAAGTAATTGGGGAAGCTCCACTTTAGAAAGGGAATTTCCAGTGATCCATAGGTACACATATTTTCTTATCTGTTTCATCTTCTTGACTCTGTTTTCTTTCCTTTTCCCTCAGATTTTACCTTATTTGCCTGTTTTCTGTTACCTACTTCCCTACAGAACAGCCTTCAGCCTTTGACAAAGGAATTACACAAACATTTCAATGTAATGGGTATACATCCTCCTCTCTAAACTGTAAGATCCAGGAAGATGCCAGTTATGTTATTAATTCCTGTAGCCATAGAATTTTGACATATGGAGGTACTGGAGTTTGACAGTTTCTCAAGTTCTGTTGGAGCACACAGATAAATATATATGAACCTGATAATTTTCTTATTTAGGTATAGATAACTAGAATTGAGAAAAGCAAATTACTGATCTTATGACTTTACATATCTATTTTGTATATCATAACTTTATATCTCCTCGTACATACTACCTTTGTTTCATAAAATAAGACCGTAGAGTGAATTTATATTCCAGTTTTCATTGGGGGCACACAGGTCTAAAACCTGTTTCCAGAAGAGCTTAAGATTATGCATGAGGCAACCCTTTCACTGTGCCCAGGAAACATACCATGGTTTCAATCTTTCCAATGGCCTCAAAGGCGAACTCAGCACCGACACCCGTCATTTCCATCACTACCTCATGGACAGGTTTCTTGAGCTTGTTAGGGTTGAGACAATCAGTGACACCCAAGGCTCTTGCCCGGGGAAACTTCTGCTCATTGATGTCAACCCCGATGATTCTAGAAGCACCAGAAGCTTTGCAGCCCATGACAATGGCAGAGCCGATCCCTCCGAGTCCAAAAACCACACAGGTGGAGCCAGGGGTGACCTGCAGATCCATACAGCGTGACTTTATCAGTTTTCAAAGCTGGCCACAGGCAGTTAAAGTAAACCAGCAAGTAAAGCAAAACAAAAAGCTAGTGAGCTTTTTGAAACTGTGTCTTTACCACTTTGAGCATTTGGGCAGATTCAGCCTAGTTTTGATCCCCGCTCCATGCTATATGGATAGCACACAAATGTAAGTGAGGAGCAGTCAAACCATGGAACCTGACGACTCTGTGGGCAGAAAGAAGTTTGTTGGGGAACAAACTGCAGGGCCTGCCTGGGAGAGTAAGGAACAACCGTGTTCTGGGAAAAACCAGTTTTATCCAGCAGGAAGGCATGGGAGGTGGGTGGGGGCCAGACACCTGAGAGTTAGCCTGGCGACTTTGAACTGATACAGCCATTTGGGTTAATCAGGGACTAGATACCCTTTGCTGTTGAAGGCAGGGAAGGGCAGTAGCTGCTTCCCATGATAGAAACCAGCACTGAGAGGCTCTGAGGAATACCAAGTTTAGGTTTCTGTTTACCAGATCTGAATCCTTCTGTTTACCTAGTAAGAATACAGCCTGGGTTAGGCCCAGACAGTTGTCTTAGGACACTGTCAACCTGTCAACAGCAGTGCCACTTTGGGCCACCTTTGTGACCCTAACAACAAACACCTCGCTCACCTTGGCTGAGTTAACAGCAGCACCATAGCCTGTAGGGACGCAACAGCTAAAGAGACAAACTTTATCCATAGGGGCAGCAGCATCAATTTTGACTACTGAAATCTCGGGCACGACAGTGTACTCAGTGAATGTGCTTGTGCGGAATGAATGGTAAACCTTCTGTCCTCGGCAGGAAAACCTAGAGGTCCCGTCCAGCATCACTCCAGAACATGGAAGAACACTGTCCCACAGCGGCGTAGACAGGCACACACATAAGGAGATGAAAAGAGAGACATGGTCACCATTAGGCACATAGAACGTGAGCTCTTTGATAAAAGGGCCAGGAAGAAATCTACTAACTCTTGCTTGTCACAGAAGTTTCCTTGGGAGTGCAAGCAGGCATCACATTCTCGACACTGTGGAATAATGAGTGTGAGGACTTTGTCTCCTGTAGGGTGGGGGAGGGAGATGAATCAATAAATCTGAGATAATTCATGGAATAAAAATACAATAAGATCTTAGCAGCTCTCTTGACAACATACCATGGAAAGATGATGGCAACCAGTGTAACGCCCCAGGTTATTTTAAAGCACAAGTCTTTTTACCTGGTTTCAGATCTTTACCATTTGGGTAAAGATGAGGAGACATTGCCTGCTGGGTAGAGAGTTGTAGGACCACCTTTCCCTACTTAGAAAATAGAATAATAGAATCAGGAAGGAACCCTAAAGCCATCTAGTTTAATTAGGTTTGTTTTTCATTGTAACAATGTTAATTCTTTTCTTTTCCATTTTAAAAATGTAATTCCTTGCTGGGCACATGCTTTTAAACCCAGCACTTGGGAGACAGAGGCAGGCGAATCTCTGAGTTTGAGGCCAGCCTGGTCTACAGAGCTGGTTCTAGGATAGCCAAGGCTACACACAAAGAAACACTGTCTGGAAATAACAAACAAGCAAACGAAAGCAGAAATGTAATCCCTTGCTGGTTACAGCCTGTTTATGGTGGCCCAGCAAAGTCAGCACTGTCTCCGGAGGCTGCAGCCCACTCCCATAGTGACACTCTGCAGGCCTGGTTTACTGCTGATGACTCTAAGCTGAGTCAACTCCAGAGAAAAACAGTTCTTTCTCTCCCATTTTCTTTCTGGGACAATTACAATAGAAGAGCTCCGGAGAGGATCTGGATAGTGTTTGGGTCTTGGATCAATTCATGCCCTGAGGTTTAGAGTGACGGGCGAGTGCAGCTTAGAAGGCTTGACCTACGCAGATACCAGACTCCTGTAGACTCTGCCAGAGTGTACAGGGGGGTCTCTGGATGTTCATTTATAGGAAAATTCCTCAAGGTGGCAGTTAAAAATCTCTTTAAACTTTGATAAAGCACACCTTACCTTTATTGACTCTTAAGATTTTCTAGATACTAGATACTAGAAGCTCTAACTGCCTTTTTCCTTCAAATGCTCATTATCGTTTCCCACAAAATTCCCAATAGGATCTTTCTGGCTAAAGAGGGGGTAGACTGTAAATGCTCTTATTTGTACTACATTCTGGGAGATGCACAGTCAGCTCTTTGCTTTCTGTGCTTTTTCCATGGTCCATAGTATGCATCTCATGATTGTTGTACACTTAGTGAATACATGAATGATAACAGCCTTGCTATGTACTTTCTTAAGTGTCTTTATGCAGCTGGTCCCAGACTATGGGGTTTCTAAATTACCATAATCTATGAGTGATTGCTCACTCACTGTGATCTCTTTAGACATGCTAAGAATAATAATGTCAATATCTTTTAGGATGCAACTGGGGAAGATGTACCCATCATCCTGTCATGCAACTTTCAAGCAGTACATTTTAGTCGACTAAAACGTTTACTCATTTGTCAAATGCTCCAACTTTGGAGTGGGCACCATTCTAAAACACTCTGGGGATCAAGACATAAGTAGCTCTTAAGCCTAAGGACCTTTCAACCGGTTTAGAGGGTCTCTGCTCTTATACCAACTTTCATCTGGTTGGCTCAGTGATAGGCTCCTTTGGATTACTGGTTTCATTTGATAACACAACATGCCATTAGATAGAAGAATGTAGAGGCAAACCCAACTTGTTTTTCTGCTGAATATGCCAGAGCCCCTCCTCTGCCAGTCAGGAGTTCCCTGGCATGCTGCTCCCATAGAATTTTGTTTCCCATTTTCTACCTGGTTTCACAGAGCTAACTCCATCGCCAACACTCTCCACAATCCCTGCTCCTTCATGTCCCGGAATCAGAGGGAATTTCATTGATAAATCTCCTGTCAGCACATGGTCGTCAGAACCACAGATTCCTGAAGATCCCATCTGTTAAGTGGCCAAAGGCAAGTGGGTTATGATTTTTTTTATATCTTTTAGGCTGAGTGTTCTCTTTTGTTTGATATGAATTATCTTACTTAATCTCTAAAACAACAGTCATGTGTTAGAGCAAAAACCTGCCCCTAAAAGAGAGATCCCTTTGAAAAGGCTAGACCCCACAGCTAGAAGACACCCTGCCGTGGATCCAAGCAGCTTGTGGTGTGACAGAGGGAAGAGGCAGTCTCTGCTGTGACTTGCCAGCTCTGTGTGGAGAACACGGTACTTCCATGTCTCTGTCCTGTTCACCATGTTGACCCAAATCATGTGCTTATAAAACTTCCCAACAGCCCCCTTACCCCAAAACTCTCCCAAGTGAGGTTTACCCTTTGTTCTGGGGATTGGTGCAGAGCTTTCTGGGGGTGGCATTAGCTTGGGGAGTACTCCACACTGCCCTCTATGAGGTATCTCAGGGCTCCACACCATCCCTCTCAATGGTTGCTCTTTGTCTCTGCCTGTCTCTGTATGCAGCAGAGACATATCTATGTTTGGGGTCCTCGCTGGGTTAAAATGGTTTCAAGATGTTACCAAAGGCTAGACATGCTTTTTCATATACATGGAGGCTCCATGTCCCTGTTAGTTTGTTGTGCACATTAAATCAGAGTATGTGGTTGTCAGTGGCCATGGTTCATAGAATATGTCGGGAATCAGGGCCTCCTCCACCACAGTGGGCATATGGAGTCTCCAACTTTGATTTTCTCAAGAGGTCAATGTGATCCTGCTTATTTCCTGCTACTGCAGTCTTCAGCTGGGTGGGGTGGTCTGACCCAGGTTATAGTCTTTATGGGTACGGAGAAAAGCAGCTCACGAGCAGTCACCAGTCAAGTAGGAAGCATGCCAGTCAAGTAGGAAGCATGCTAGACGGTGGCTCCCTTGGAAGTGGAGTTACAGATGACTGTGAGTCGCTGTGTGGGTGCTGGGAATACAACCCTAGTCCTTTGGAAGAGCAGTCAGTGCTCCTAATTGCACAGCTATCTCTCCAGCTCCTACATTTATTTTTTGAAGTGTAGTATTATTTTCTTTTGTCCTCTGGCTGACTTAAACTTACCTTAATGCGAACTTCTCCAGCTTTTGGTGGCTCAACTTGCACTTCTTCAATTGTAAGAGGAGACTTTTCTTTCCAGGCAATGGCTGCCCTACATGTGATTGTCTAATGGGCACAAAATAAAATGGCATTTACCAATAAACTTCCTTTTTTCTGATCACACTTGTTGTTATTTGTAAAAGTACAAAAATCACAGGGAAAAAGCCAAAATAAATAAATATAAACAAGTCACCTGCATTCCAAGCATAAACTACTAAGAGTTTAGCAAATTTTCTTCCAATCTTTAAAAATATTTTTTACATACAAAATTTTAATAATTTAAAAATAGTTAAGATGATTCTATATAAGAAAGTTTACCTTCTCCTTTCTTCATTCTTCCTCCTCCTCCTCTCTTCTTCTAAAATAGTCACTATTTATTGAACGATTAGCACTGACATATTTATAAACATTTCTCTTAACTTTGAAAAACTTCATAGTCATAGTTTGAAATGACCACTTTATTTGGTTATATCCTAATTTTCTTAATAATTACCTAGCTATAGGAGTGTTTCCATTGTGTTTCCTCTTACAAAGGGTATTATTTTTTAAAAACATCGTATTTTTATTTCTTTTTAGTTGATAAATGAGCTTACATGTACAAATGGTATACAACTTGATTTTACAAAGGGTATTATAATGAGCACATTTGTTCACAGTATTTTTCTTGGTTGATTTGTTTCCTTAAGTGAGAATTTCTTGGGAAGGATAGAGTCATTGTTAGCGCTAAGTTGATTTCCAGATCTCTGTACAGAAAGATTTAATCACTTGACTCATTCCCCATAATAATAACTTGTCTTTGCTGTCATTTATCCCATTTTACTTAGCATTGACTGTATCTTTTGCCCAGGGAAAAGAAGCCCACTGTCTTCATTGGTTTTTTTCAGGGTAGCAGTGTGGGTGTTTGCCATGCTAATGGGAGCTGTGGTAAGGCTTGCTCGTGTATTCCATTTCCAAAGGCTGAAAATTATCCATATAGCAACAGATGCTTCTTATCCTCTCTTTGAATTCTTCCAGTTTGATTTTTAAGCACTTAGCCCATACTTAACTGAAGATTATTTCTTTGTGTAACGTGAAGCTAGAATCTAAATGAGTTGTCCCCGGGTGGCTTGGTTACTATTTCTGCCTTTTCTACTTACATTAGCACTGCTGCTGCACAACAAATTCTTATTCTTCCAGGCTTCTCTTTAGAGGCTGCTTCTATTATCTTGAATATCTTTCTGTGGATTCTTGAAATAGCTCCTTCCTCAGTGAGAGGACTAGCTTAACTTTTAGATGTATTACCCTGTGATACTAATTTGTTTAACTTTAAACGTGTTCCATTTGTAGGTGTGATTTCTGCATTACTAATTGTGAGTAAATCTGCTGTGTCTTCAGGAAATTTAGACTCCAGCAGAAGAGATAAAACAGGTTTTGATATTATAAAGAAAAAGGACATGAGTCACAGTGGAATACTACTTCTGTCAATGAACAACATAATTAGAATAATTTTGCTTTCACTCAAAACTTTTGTCAAAAATAACTTTTAGGAAAACTTTCCTGATTTCAAAAGCAATGTACAAATAACACAAACACTAAGTTACACAGACAAATGTAAGGGGAGGAAGCATGGGAGGCTTGACGCCCAGCTCTCACCACTGCTAATGATGTAGAATAAGTTCCTCAGCCAATGTTCTGTGTATGTACTGTGTTCCTGTGACCACACTGGACACCCTGGTCACAGCTTGCTGTTACATGTAACAGGAAGAGTAATTCTCTTTACTGACCACCTCAGACTCACCAATACATTGGACCTGCAGCTTCCTAATCCTCTACAGGCGTCATTTTCATCACGCTCTTTGCAATGGTGCCAGTAACCTACTCGTAAGAACATGCAGGACTCTTTCACTGGGATCAGTTTCCAGTTCCAGCTGCCCCCGCAGCACAGCAGACAGCATGTCATTCCCATTCATATCAGATAACATGACAGGCAAATCTCAAAGCTTTTGCTGCAAATCGGAATCATTGTAATCAAGTGTAAACTTGTCAGAAATTCATTCTCCGGACTGTGGTGGGAGACTTTCCACATCCTGGGAAACTTTTGGGTGCTATTGTCATTAAATTTTGTTAATAACCTGATCAGAGAACACAAAGTCTAAATTTCTTTTAAACACTCACCTGCTGGATGGCAGTGAAGGGGCTATGGGGTATCACAAAGCAATAAACTCACCTTTCCTGTGGTGTCCATGCTGGCTTCTCTGGCTTCGCTTGTGTCCTTTGGGTATATCTGAGTGAAGTGTGATTGTGCTGCTCAGCAGCCTGGGCCAACTATTTATAGTGTTCATGAACCCAAAAGCCATTAAAAGTAATTACACTGTCAACGTGGAGACGATCAGAAGGGTGACGGGCTGAATGAAAGGAATACGAAAGACCAGGAAAGGATGATTCAGGAGGAGATTGACAGCCAAGAGCTGACTGGGAGAGAATGGCTTGGAGAGGAGGTGGGGATAAAAGGCTAAGAGGCATTGCAAAAAAAAAAAAAACCAAAAACCAAAAAAACCAGGTAGTGAAGAACAAGCCACACAGTATCTGCTCATTAATCAAAAGAGTATCTGGAAGAGCAGTTATTATAGGTGCTATTGCTAAATGAACAATAAAGACAGGGTTAGGACTGGGTTGCCAGTAGTCAGAGGAGTGGAAAAGTGTAAGTACTCACATAAATTATAATTTAAAACTGAGAAGTGCATTGTGAAACTGAGAGATGCTAAAGGTGAAGTAAGGTATTACAGAAGAGTCTCACAGGTACGAGTATGACTTCAGGGGTAAAACTTGCATAAGAGCAAGGAATAGGTGTGTATTCAAACTAGGGCACCGAGTCAGTCAAGGTAAAGCGTGATAAATAGATCATACTGATGATGGGAAGGAAGAAGATGTTCAAAGTCTGCGATACTGGCCTGACCCAGCAGGCTTCTGCTTTAGCTGAATGAGTGGACACAAGTCAGAAGACCAGGCTGGCGAGCTCTGGCTGACAGCTTTATCAGCTTCTAATTCACATACGTCCAGCACACTTCAGGACCTACTGTGATGAACCCATCTTGCTTCTCTCTGCATCTCTTGTGACTCCTCTGACTCTGCCCGTCTTTCCCCCAGCATCTTTAGTTTGGTTTTCCCATCCATACTTCCATCCTGGCTACCGGCCAGTCAGCTTTTTAGTAACCCAATCCAAGTGACAAACCTTCACAGTGTACAGCAGTGAATCGTAGTTAACAGATAGTTGTGGGCCATCATGTGGCTGCTGGAAAAGTAACTGGTACTCTCAACACTGAGCCTTCTCTCCAGCCCCACTTGGAAAAATTTTAATCTTTTTTTTCTATCATATTTCTTAAATTTAGAGCTTGACTGGGCATGGAGTTCAGAATCCTAAGACACGATGCTAAGTGTTTTGGTGCACACAGTGGATTCCTGATAGCTCCCACCCAACTCACTCATTGATATCCACCCATATTTGGTGGATGTCAGTGAGCCATGCCATTTCTGGAACTCAGTTTCTGTGTTCCCAACTTATAAAAACCCAACAGTAATAAGTTTACGGAAAGGGTGAAATTTTTCCTCACGGAGACCTTGGAAGGAGTGAGCATTGAAATAAAAGGTTACAAGTGCATCTGGAAACTGAACCTGTAACCTGTTAACTTCTGCAGGACTTCTCCTCTCTGATGCGATGCAGTAAGGTAGACAAGAATGCCATGTCAGCACTAACAGACCTGGGTCCAATCTTACTGTCATCTCCTACATACTGAGACATAAGAGCTATGGTTTCTCGAAGCCTCAGGTTCCCTGTCAGTTGGGAATGTTGTTATATTAGCCTCACAGGTTTCCTCACAAGCACTAAGCCAATTATCATATACAGATGCCCAGAATCCTGCCTTGTACATAGCAGGTCCCTATGTAAGTGTTCATTATTATTATATGTCTAAGAATATCCATTTCATTTTTCCTCAGTTCTGACTTGCATTTGCCCTGTGGTAGGAAGTATAGCCATGAAGAAAACACTTGATTTTTCAGTTTAACAACTACAACCAGAGAGTTCTGAGATCTCCCCTCTTAAGCTCACAAATGCATTGAAGGCAGTCTTTCTCTGCAAGGGCCAGGTGACCTTCTTGCTTCAATGAAGTCTAGGTAAGAATTTGACTACCATTGTGGCAGTTATGTGGGCACCCCTGAGAAGGTGACAGTGGGTAGGGGACACTCTAGGGAAGATGATTCTAGTGTCAATTCTCACTCACTAAAACAAGTAATGCTAAGAATTGCTTCAGAATCCTACCTTTTCCTTGTATATGCAATTAGATGAGATGGTACCAGATTAAGATGTACCTCTAGATGAGACCATACTAGATTATGGTGTACCTCTAGATGAGATGATACCAGAATACGGTGGACCTCTAGAGCTCATATCAGGTTATTGTGCATTTCGTATCAATATAAATGGCATCCTTTTAAAAAAGACAGTGTCCCAAGATGTAGAGAGGGCCATGTGAGGAGGCAACTTTTGTATACTTCTTAGAAAAAATACAATGTTTAATTGATATGAGGCAAAATAATAGCTGGGTTATAGAAACAAGTATTTTATGTGAAGAAAGCAATAAAAAGGCACAAAATAAAACATGATCAAATGTGAGGTTCAAGTTATTATAATTTTTATTCAAAGATGTGTATTCCTAGTTTTTCTAAAATGCAGACCTAGAAGTTGTAACCTGCTTACAGTTCTCTAACACATCAGTGTAGTTTCAGTTTCTTGACATGTTGACAAAACCTACAATATGTGTTTATAGAATCTAATTTTCTCGTTTTAGCTAACTTCCGATTACTGTACTAAAATTCAACAACAAGCTTCTTTAGAGAGACGAGCTTGCTTTTGCCATGATCTGGATGGGAAAGGCCTAGGTAGCATGCCACAGACTCTTCTCCCCCTTCTACGTGCTGAGACATGTTTATCACATCACAGAAGGAGCGGGTAAGTGTATTTGATACCTGTGTGTCTCCTTCTCCAGGACCTACCCAGATCCAGTCATAGGAACTCTACCTTAACCACCTGGGCTCTCACCTCCAGCTGTTGCAGTTGGATTATATTTCTCCCCAGACTGTCATTACCATGAAATGTGGGGGATTGAACTGGTTCGTTGTTGGAAGACAGGCTGTTTTCAAACCATTGCACTTCTGGCTAAACTGGTTCATTGCTGGAGAACATGCTGTGCTCAAACTATTGCACCTTTGGTTCCAGTTTTTGCTTCAACCAAACCAAAATGTGCTCAGTCCCCATATTTTCTAGTTTCCCTGCTTCTTTTCCTGCGTGACTGGAGGCTTCTTTGCTCCACCTGAGCCTGTTACCCTCTTTCACCTCACGCCCACGATGGTTCAGGAGGCACATTTTGTTTTGTTTCTAGGGTTCGTGTGAACCCTGCATTCACACCCTGTCTTTGATGGAGACCCTGTCTTCTGGGTTAGATTTGAGTCAGTAAACACAGAACTCAAAACTAAACAGCACTGTGTTCTTCCTCTCTCATTTTCTTCCTCTTCCTACTATGCTCTAGGTTTGAATTCCATCCTGTGGAACTGTAATAATGACTACTTTACCAGTGACCTTCACTAAGGCACTTTTAAAAATATTTTATTTATTTTTAAGTTTAAATTTAGATTAGAAACAAGGTTGCTTCACAAGTCAGTTCCAGATCCCTATCCCTTTCCCTCTCCTCCTCCTGTGCCCTCCCCCCAACTCCCCCATTATCCCCTCATTTCCCCAGGGAGGGTGAGGCCCTCCATGGCAGTGTCCATAGTCTGTCATTTCATCCAGGGCAGGGCCTAGACTTTCCCCCAAGAGTTCAGGGTGAGAGCGCATCTCACATCTCACATTGTTGGATGGGAGTCCAAAGTCCATGTGTATACTTGGGATGAATACTGATCTACTGTCTAAGGCTCAATAGATTACCTAGGCCTCCTCACTGACACCCCCATTCAGGGGGTCTTGATCAGTCCCATGCTGGATTCCCAGGCTGATGCCTGGGATTCAAAAGTTAACCTTTGTCAGGTCTGCTGTTTCTGGGCAGCCCAGTCTTAATCCCTTTGTTCATCAGTCCTCCCTCTCTGTTACTGGCTTTCTTGAGTTAAGCTCAGTGCTTAGCCGTGGGAGTCTGCCTCTTCTTCCATCAGCCACTGAAAGAAGTTCCTGTTTCCCAGACTCTCTGGCCATGGGATTGTAGGCTGGCACTCCCCAGATTGTAGGAGGAAGTCTGATGCCGCCATTAAACATGTGACTTACTAGAGGCGCATACAGATGAGGTAATAAAAGGGCGGTTTACCACACCGCTAACCACACCCACTTTAGGCAGGACTAAAGACGTATACGGCTGGACGTAAAGACGTATACGTACGTAGGCGGAACTACGTCACTAGCCAAGCCCACTTTTGGGCATGGCTAGGGGCGTTACGGGGAAGGCATAAAAGACAGCGCACAGGAAGTCTCGCTCTCTTTTCCTGGAGTTCGGCTTCCGGTCCAGTCGCTAGCTGAGATCTGCTGGTTTGGTATCGTGTGAGTAATTTTCAACATAAAATACTTAGCTTCACTTTCCGTAATTGTGTGTCGCGTATCGTTACAGCGTCCGTAAAGCCAACAGTTTGGTGTCGGAGCGGGATTGGAATCGGGACCCAGGGCTTCTCTCGGCCCGACCAGGCACACGTGGACTCTCCTTTCGCTAAGTTCCTCACTACTTCGCTCGGCAAGGCACGATTCCTGCCGCCAGGAACCAGCACCTTCTACCTGCCGGTAAGGTTAGGCGGAATTCCAAGGTTTCTCTCGCGGCCACGTGCTGTTTTACTGGCGGCCAGCTGACTCCGGCCACGTGCTCTTTCGCTGGCAGCCTGTTGATTTCGGCCTGAATTACTCCATTGGTAACAAACGTAACTGCTTTATACAATGTCAACAGCTAACACTATGATGCAGGATGTTAAGAATTTTCTTGGTTTTTGTATGGATGGGATTTTAGAAAGGGTTGAGGACCTACCTGAAAGGTACTTCCTACCCACGATGGTGACTATTAGCTTCATAATCAATATAATTTTGTTAATGAAATGGCTCAAAAATAGGAATAAACTTATACAGGTCATGCAGTCATCGCAGGATAGTTTTGAAATCTTAATACAAAGGATTCAGGAAATGCAAAATTCATTGCAGGAGAGTAAGAAAGGGTTGGTAGAAAATATTCAGGATATTAAAAATGATAATGTAGGTCTGACGAACAGGTTTAAAGAGACGGAACACAAAATTGAATTATTTTCAGGAAAAATGTGTTCCATAGATAGAATTGAAAAATTGGAACATAATGTGGAAACATTTAACGACAAACACGGTTCCATGTTTGATGATTTCACTAGCAAATTACAAAGACTGGAACATAAAATTGAAATGCTAGC